TACGTCTAATGCTGTAAACTCATGCGATGATAATACCGAGCGATATATAAAACATAAGATGATTTCAATGCTGAACGTGAGACTGTAATAATAGAGAGTGCGCAAGGTGTCTCGGAATCAGAGGTAAGGAGGTAGGATTGAATAAGAGGTGAATCAAACTGAACTTTTAAAATGAATTGCTAGAACTTTCTGCATTCTAATAAAATATATAAAAAATAAACAGCAGTAACAACTTCAAGAAATACATATTTTTTCATTTATTTATTTGTTCTTTACCCTCACAATGTTTACGTATATTAGTCAAATTCAAGTTATTCAGGTCATATTTTCTAAATTTAATATAAACCAACTGAAAAGGTTAATTAGAAATGAACATTTGGATTTTACTTTGAGGCATAAAGAGAGAGGGAGTTTATCAAAAAATTACGAAATATAACGTGAGCTAGAGAAGAAGATCAATTAAAAAAAATACAAAATTAAAAAAAATCTAAAATTTCACGATTTTTTCTAGGTACTGAAAATACACGTAATGTTTGGAGGGGTTGGAGAGGTTAAATTTGAATATCACCACGTATCACAAAAAATCTTTAGAAGTCGATCACGTAATTAATGGATGTCCCTTTGTTAACTACTGATGTACATCGCCTTATTTTAGTAGATCATCTATCGATCAGCTGCGTTGTTAATAAAACATAGTTTTTTAGCATTTTCACATTAGATATTTTCTCAGTAATTATTAATATTCAAGAAATATTTTTAAAACACGTATAGCAAACAATCATGTCATATTATTTTTTATTGTAAATTTATCAACGTTTACTAACTTGAGTATTTGACAACAAATGAAGGCAAGAGAAAGATATAATTTTTTTTTTGAACAGGGATCAGAACTTAAAGGTCCTATAAGCTGTTGTAATTGCTAACTTACTTGACAAATTATGTAACTAACTACTATTGATGAAGCAATGCTGGGCCTTGGGTTATTTACACTTGGAAATATATTGCTACCTATGATTTTGGGTATCAAACCTGGCACCACTGATATCCTATAGCTCTAACCACTCATCCACGGACGAGCCGAAAATGTTATGATTACCCACAATCTAAATTTTGTGTTTTGCTATTTAAACTTATTTATTTCTGAAACAATTTAAGTTTAATTTTTTAACAATTTTATAATATTTTGAGTATTAAATACATGTCATTATAATTTTAGATCTAATATAATATTATCATAATAATTATTAAACTAAGAAGATCTCATTGGAGTTCTTCTTAGATATCGCTCTTAAATACTGTCAGTTTAGCTCATAGGAATCTTCATGTATTACTGATTGCTAGATAAAACAGGATTAAAAAAATATAATTTTACAATATGACAAACTAGCGTACTGGGAGAACCAAACGGTTTTAATACTAATACCACTGACCTTTATCCAATTATAACATAATAACTGACAATTGCATTTTTGCCGTTATGTGAATAGTTCAACAAAAAATATTTTGTAGAACTAATTTAAAATACAATGTTACCATTATTTAGGTAGATCAAAAATTAATGTGCAAACACTTTTATGTTTGATTGTATCTGGTATTTTGATTAGTTAATAAATAGATTTTTACGATAAGCAATAATAACAATGAAAGAGCAAACTAGTGTGATAATATGAAAAAAAGCGAATTCATTTTATACCGTTTTATTATAATATGTGATGATTATTTTACAACTCTTATCTAAAGTATGTTTTCAATTTATTTATATAGCCCTTATAATTTGTTCTGTAATGAACGACTTTATATGTTAATACTAATATAGATATTTCAAATATTTAAAAATCAATGATAACATATTCATAAATCAACATAATTTCAAAAATATCCCTATTACCATGATGAACTATCATTATGATTTTGTACTTGCAAATCCTAATCATAACAGGAAACAATTAACGACAGTAAGCAGAACGTGGAATCGACTCATAATTCGACATAATCAGCCGTTAAATAGAGAAACGCAAGCAAGTAATCGGAGTCACGATGCGAATATCTATCTATATTTTGGTCTTACGCCTTTGTAAGGGTCCTTCGATCACGTAATACGGCGTAACGAGATCTGTCCCTCTCCTTTTGCCACGGACGTTTTTGAGTTTGGCGCGCTTTTGTCGCGCGGATATATCGATCGACCGACCGGCGCAACGGAAACAGTACGGCGGATAGAACGAAGATGGGAAGAGGAAACGGAATATAGTATCTACAGGGTGCAACTTGCTCCATTCCTATACAGCATTGAATAACCTCTAAAAACGTGCATTTTCTTACAAATATTCAATAGTGATTCATTGATAATAATCAAATATACAATTATTTTAAACCCTGATTTCTAAACTTTAACTTTTATGATGTAGAGTACAAGCGGGTCTCAAAGGTTTACAGGTAAAAGGTCAACCGCCGATATCTCAAAAATAATTAAAGTTAAGAAATTTTTAACTACAATATTTGAAAGTAGAGAGAAAAAGATTTATAACCAGCCATCACATTGATTCTTTCGCTATCGAAAGATAAACGGAAATCCATGACAAAAATATTTTCTTTCAAAATAGTTTTTTTTAGCTGTGAGCACTGTTGTTCAGTTCACGATACCTTAATATGAATTTTAAGTCTACGTTATTCAAATGTTTCAATAACGGACAATGAGCTTTCCCTTGAATTGGTGGTAAGACCTATACGATTTCAATGAGGGGCCCCAGGTTCGATACCCGATTCGGTCAGCTTGATACCAAATAGTAGTGACATTAATTTTCACTTTAAAATATAGATAGCAATACGTTGTTGATGTTGGGGGGTTTCTCAACCCCTTTCGAAGTATTTTATACTTCGAGGAAAAATAAAAAAATTAAATGTATTCAGAAAACAAAAACCAATGGTAAACAAATATAAATTAAAAATAAAATTCTTCATAAACTAAAATATATTCTATATAAATTTTATATAAATGAAAAAACAAAAATGAACACTAATTAATATTGTATGAAAATGTTATCTGTTTTGGAAGTCCAAGCCGCGGCAGCTATTTGGTTGGATCTGGAAACATCAGCGTAGTCGGTTGGATAGGTTGAAAAGAAATTCGAATACACTGACAAATAAAAATAACTGTTGACTTGACACACAATAGAAATTTAATCCACTGATAATATTGAACTGATAACAAACACTGAAAGGAACTGAATGTATTGATTGCAAGTAACTGAATGAATGAATTAAACCAAAATGAATGAAAACCACGGAATAAATCAACTCGAACACTGTAAGGAACTGAAAGTAACTGAACGAATGAAAGGCGCGGAATGAATTGATTTGAATGCCAAAAACTATTGCCTGCATCGGCCTTTTTATGAGTCAGAATTGCCCGATTGCCTAAATTTGAAACGTATTGTCCGAGTAGAAAAACAAACCTTTTACAGGTCCGACAACCTACACAGGTGCGGCGCAAACATTTTCCCCCGACTAAAAGGTTAGCCTTTTATACTTCTGAAAATACTCGAAATTGGTACATAGTGAACCTCATGATTAGGAAGGATAGAATTGCCAAAATAAATTCAAACTTTCATTCAGAGTAGATCGGTTACGGAAGCCTGACCTCGCGCCAGGGTCCCGCTCTCACAACCTACCACATTCACACAATCTAGATTGCGGAAGTTTTATTTTCGCGCCAGGGTCTAGATTTTTTGGACATTTACAAGAATCTTCCAGAGACTATGAGGGGTGTTCTCATCGCCCTGGAGATTGAAAATTTGGCAAAACTATATATAGAAGCAAATATATCATGAGATAGAAAAGTTTTTTTTTTTTTTTTTTTTTTAATGAATAATTCAGATATAAACTATTGAATAGGTAGGGGGCATAGTTTGACAACAGGCCGCTTGATTAGGGTATTTCCCGTTTTTACCAATGCTACTCGAACCACTCCATCGGGCCCGGAAAAACCTCTTCAACTCTTCCCAACCCCCAATGGAGCGGACGCGCATTCTCTTGTTTTACAACTACCAAATCACCCTTTTTAATAGGATTAGTGACTGTATTCCATTTCTGTCGGACCTGTAGCTCGGTTAGATATTCCACATTCCATCGCTTCCAGTAAGAAGCGACAATATGATCTAGCAATTGTTTTCTTTTAGTCAAATTCAAGTTTTCATAGTCAACGGGCAAATCCGACAGAGGCTCTTGCATTAAGAAGTGCGCAGGCGTAAGAGGTTGAGGATCCGATGGATCATTGCTCAGCCAACATAACGGTCTTGAATTCAGTAAGGCTTCGATTTGATTGAGGACTGTATTAAACTCTTCGTAGGATAAAATTTGCAACCCTATAACTTTAAACAAATGGGTCTTCACTGATTTAATATTCGCCTCCCATATACCTCCAAAATGTGGGGCAAACGGTGGATTAAATTTCCATTCAATGTCATGTAAAACCAATAATTCATTGAAACGCTTTTTATACTCTTCGGAATTTAGGAGAAGGAATAAGGAATCAAGAGTATTTTTGGCTCCTATAAAATTGGTTCCACAATCGGAGTAAATACATTTAATAGGACCACGCCGGGCTAGGAATCGTTTCAAGCAATCTAAAAATGTATCGCTTGTTAAATCTGAAGCTAATTCGAGATGTATCGCCTTAGTGGCTAAACAGATGAACAAGCATATATAAGCCTTGTAGGTTCGAGCGCCTCTGTGACGACTCATGGAGATATTGAAGGGGCCTGCATAATCAACGCCGACGTTTAGGAAAGCTCTACTGGCTGTTATGCGCGGTACTGGTAAGTCGCCCATGAATGGAAAAATGGGTTTCGGATTCTGTCGAAAACAAGTTATACACTTGTTAAGACGATTGCGAATTATTGCACGAGCCGACAAGATCCAATATTTTTGCCTCAATAAAGATAATACTAAGTTTGATCCAGTATGTAAATTATTAATATGGTAGTAATCTATGAGACAATTTACTACTTGGTCTTTTTTGGCAAAAGAAGTGGATTGTTATTAGTTGTTAATCCTAATCTACCTTTAACGCGTAAACAATTATTAGAATCCAAAACCACATTTAGTCGGCAAAACTTCTTCGAACAAGACTTTCCGTTCGTTAATAGTTTGAATTCTTCGGGAAAATGATGTTCTTGGACTAAACGAATAATAATAACCTCGGCTTGTTTCAAATCTGAAGTCAAAAGTCGGTTTCGATTTGTTATAATTTTACAAAACTTCAATATATAAGCGAAAATTCTTACAAGTTTGCACCAATTAGAAAATTTTTGCGTTAATTCATATAAAGGATTGATCGGTGGTATGACACTCTTTACTATTAGAGCGTTAGCTTTTCTTTCTTGATCAATATCTCCGGAAGGTTCAACCGTTTTTGCAGGCCAAGTTGATATAGGACCATTCAACCAATCCGGCCCAAACAACCAATTCTTATGTTGGATAAAATCCTTAGGTCGAAGACCTCGAGAAACACAATCGGCTGCATTTTGATTAGAAGGAATGTGAAGCCATTGTGCATTAGGAATGAGATCCCGTATTTTTGTTACCCTATTGGCTACAAATGTTTTCCAACGAGTAGCCGGTCCTGCTAACCAGTGAAGGACAATCATAGAATCGGAAAAACAGTAAATAGAATCAAAATCTATACTATGTTGGTTATTCGTTAATATAAAATTCAGAAGTTTTGACAGTAAATGACAGGCACAAAGTTCAAGCCTGGCTAATGTTTGGTTTTTAATCGGTGTTACACGCGATTTTGAAATCAACAAGAAATTCGGATTGCCAAGAGATTTAATATAAACTACCGCTCCATACGCTTGCTCTGAACTATCCGCGAAACCAAATAATGAACATTTGTTTTGTTTTGACGTTTCGAGATAACGCGGAATCTGATAGTTATTAAGATGCTCTAATTCGGAATATACGGCTAACCATGATGTAATAATAAATGATGGTAATTCCTCATCCCAATCGATTTTTAATGTCCAAATTTTTTTCAATAATATTTTTATCTTAACAACTATCGGAGTTAGGAAACCCAGAGGATCCCAGATTCGCGCTATTACTGAAAGAAGTTGTCTCTTTGTCCATTTTCTCCACGTAAGCTTTATTTCGAATGAAAAATTATCTGATAAGGGATCCCATTTTAATCCCAATACCTTTGTAGAAGATTCCATTTGAAAATCCGATTTAGAGAAATGTTTATTTTGTACATCAGAATCAGGAAAAGTTTACGCAGATTAGAATTATTAGATTCCCACTTTTTTAATTCAAAACCACCAGACGATAATACAGTCTGCAAACCCTCGCAAATGGTTTTAGCGCTATCCAAGGAGTCGATACTTGTAACCACATCATCAATATAGACATCGTTCTCAAGAATTCTAGAAATAGATTGAGAATATTTGGAACATTCGTCTCGGGATAGTTGTTTGATGGTTCTGATAGCTTGAAAGGGAGATGATGATAGACCAAAAGTTACGGTATTTAATTCATAGATGCCAATGGGTGCATCGGGAAACGGTCTCCATAAGATTTTTTGATATTTTCTATCTTGTTTACGAACCCAAATATTACGATACATTTGTTTGATATCAGCTGTTAATGCTATAGGCCCGAAACGAAAATTTAGAAGGATTGAACAAATGTCGGTTTGTAATTTAGGACCAACATGCAAAATTTCGTTCAAGGAAGTGAATTCTGAATTTTTCGCAGATGCATCAAACACAACGCGTAAAGGCGTGGAGGAACTTTCTTTTTCGACTGCGAAATGAGGAATATAATATCCATTTTTTATTTTAATAAAATCATCGACTTCCTGATCTACCGGACAATAATCGACAAAGGATAATTGGTTTTGAGTCAGGTAATCTTCTATAACGGCGGCATATTTTTTATGAAATTCGGGATATTTCAAAAATTTATTTTCAAGCATTTGGTATCGCTTTAAGGCTAAATGAAATGATTTGTATAAATTTCTGCCTTCACTTTTAAAAGGCAGCGCTACTACATATCGTCCATCTGGAGATCGCGTAGTAGTTGTAGTAAAATGGTTTTCGCATAAATCATCGTTAGAAGAGGGGATTATTTCGGGAATGTCTTCTAATTGTAAGAATTTATTCATTTGTAAATGAAAATCTGAATCTGAAACATTACATAAATTAGTAGAAGTGCCGGTATTTTCAAATAAATCAGGAATGGAACCTAATATTAGATAACCCAACCGGGTTTCTAGGGCCACAGGTAATCCTTTATCATTTTTAACCTGATTAGTGCCAAGAATTTCGCCGAAAACATCGCAACCCAAAATTCCGTCGACCTCCTGGGGTGTATGAAAGTTAGGATCCGCTAAAGGATAATTCAGAAATGTTTTGATGGATGAAATCGGAATGGTAATTTGTGGTTGCTTTCCCACTATCTCGTGTACTACGTATGCACAGACCGATAACTGATAAGAATCAATTAAAGATTTCAAAGTGAAATTAACTAATCCAATAACTTTATGTGACGAATTGCCTAACCCGATCACTTGGGTTGATATTGGAAGAATTTGTAAATCAGCCTTTTTGCACCAAGTTAATGTCACAAAATTTCTATCGCTTCCCGAATCAATAATTGTACGTAATAAAATGTTTTCTTTTCTAGTAGTAACTTTTACTACTGCTGTCGGCAATATGGTAATATGATGTGCGATTTTGTTTTGATTAAATGCGCATAAAACCGTACTATTTGATTTGGAATTAGAAAGATTATTTTGATCCGTACTCGCAAAATTGCTACCAGTATGCAATAGCGAGTGATGTCGTTCGTTACATAATAAACAGGTTTTATTCGATCGACATGTAGTCGTTATCTTATGACCCAAACAATTGTCGCATAAGTTTAATTTTTGAATAAGGGATCGCCTATCAGGTATACTCAATGATAGAAATTTCGAACAAGTAAACACTCTGTGTTGTTCCCGACACACAAAGCATTTGTTATCATATTTATTTTTAACAAAAATGACCGGCTAATTTTAGTGTTTTTGTAATTGGGTTTGTCATTAGTGAAATTGTTGGTCATACCATATACTTGATTTTTTGCCTGTTGTGACTTTTGAAGAAAATGCAGGAGGTCTTGGTATTTGGGAAACTCACCTTGATAAAAATGCTCGAATTTTTCTTGTAAACAACGGATCGAGTTTCGAGAATGCCAGTGACGTAATAAGGAAATCATAGGCGTCGGGAATATTCAATTGGGAGAGCGCTTGCACCGCGGTATCGAATTTTTCAGGAATGAATTTATTTGTCCAGATGAAATGGTTTTGAATGACAATAGTTGTTTGAAATAATTGGTGGCTAAGTACCGTTTATTTTCGTATTTTTTATGAGCGCTTCCCAAAGAATTTGATAATTATTTGCGGTCGGTAGTATAGAATGAAATATTTTTAAAACCGGACCCTGTAACGCTCCTTTTAAAAAATGAAATTTTGAAACATTATCTAACTCGGTATTTTCATGAATTAGTGAATTGAATGTTTCATAAAATAATGGCCATTGTTGAATATCTCCTGAGAATTTAGGTACTTCAATGGACGGTAAATGTTGTTTGGGTACTATGTCTTTAATTGAAGAACTATGCGCATTTTTATTATCTAGTAATTTCTCAGCGTGTTTTATTTTGGCATACATCGTTTCAAGGGCCTTTATTGCGGAATATTCCGGAATGAAACTAGGATTATCTAAATATTTTAATTTGTTTATTTCATCGCACAATTGAATAAATTGTTCACGAGCATTTTCAGTAATATATAAATTTTCAAGAAATTGTGTCTTATTTGAAGATACATCAATCTGTTGCGATAGATCGTACGTTTCTTGCACAATTGAAAAGTACATCTCTCTCTTGGCGGTTAGACGTGCAATTTCTGCACCAATATCGATTTTAGGCGCCATTATATATATTTTGTTTTCTGTATACACCCAATTAATCCTAATAATAATTAGGATCCGGCTCGAAGGACCAAATGTTGATGTTGGGGGGTTTCTCAACCCCTTTCGAAGTATTTTATACTTCGAGGAAAATAAAAAAATTAAATGTATTCAGAAAACAAAAACCAATGGTAAACAAATATAAATTAAAAATAAAATTCTTCTTACTCCGTAATCAATAATAAACTAAAATATATTCTATATAAATTTTATATAAATGAAAAAACAAAAATGAACACTAATTAATATTGTATGAAAATGTTATCTGTTTTGGAAGTCCAAGCCGCGGCAGCTATTTGGTTGGATCTGGAAACATCAGCGTAGTCGGTTGGATAGGTTGAAAAGAAATTCGAATACACTGACAAATAAAAATAACTGTTGACTTGACACACAATAGAAATTTAATCCACTGATAATATTGAACTGATAACAAACACTGAAAGGAACTGAATGTATTGATTGCAAGTAACTGAATGAATGAATTAAACCAAAATGAATGAAAACCACGGAATAAATCAACTCGAACACTGTAAGGAACTGAAAGTAACTGAACGAATGAAAGGCGCGGAATGAATTGATTTGAATGCTAAAACTATTGCCTGCATCGGCCTTTTTATGAGTCAGAATTGCCCGATTGCCTAAATTTGAAACGTATTGTCCGAGTAGAAAAACAAACCTTTTACAGGTCCGACAACCTACACAGGTGCGGCGCAAACAACGTTTCTAAGTCAAAATAGCG